CGTTTCGCGACGCACTACGTCACACTTTTTTTCGTAAATGAATGTAAAGGATTAAAAGTATAGAAAGAGACGTTTCGCGACGCACTACGTCACACTTTTTTTGGTAAACGAAGGTTAAGGATAAAGAGTAAAGAAAGAGATGGCACGAAATGGGCTGAAGGCCCGAAGAGATTAAAAGAGATGATTTTGAGGATACTCATAGGGAATGGTTGTTACAGACATGACACTTGACCGGGGACAAGCGCGATGGACCGGATTAAGCAGGCTAGGGTGCGGAGTACACGCTGTCGGGCCCAACCCCCACGGACAACGGAGGTCCGGCTAACAGATACCGAAGTAACAGCGGACTGCTGTGACGCAAGAGCTTAAAGGGCCGCGAAGCGGCTTCCGCGTTGACGCACCCTGTAATGCTCCTAAAGCGTATGTTTCATTAGTACAGCAGGGCTCTAAGTGCGTCTCTCTCGCACGCATACGGATTATTACACTTTTTCTACTACCTATAACTATACTACCTTTAACTTACAACTATACTACCTATAAATGTTTTGAAAAACTCACAAAAATGGTGTCTAGACCCTGTACCTGCTACGCACTAATATTGTATTTAAAAGAAAACTATGAAGGTACAAACGGTGGAACGCAGTGGAGATATGCTAGAGACTATACTCATTCGAAGGGGACTGATTGGAAAGAGGTACAAACGATACTTTCTTGAAGAACTTCAAAAATTGGTGTCTGAGCGTTGTACGTGCTACGCACTTAACTGGAATTTCTATAGTTCCTGATAGGTTTTAACACTAAACATACCGTCAATTTTTTATAAACGTATTTTTGGCTTTAAAAGGGTCAAATAACCCGTCGATGGTACGATTAGTGTTAACAACAGTTCTGCTACGTAACATCGTTAAAATACCTATTAAGGATACTAGTCGCACCATATGCTTCAGTGCAGGTATGCATAAGAAGCTGGCTTTCAGTGTTGTTTTCATGTTGTGTTTCAAACAGTTCCGGAATAATTCTCTTTAGTACTCAATGTTGGGACCATAGTTCCGCTTGGAACTATTGGTGAATAATGATGGAAGCTAGCACCGCATCGCTGCACTCCTTAACACAGGCAGGCATAAGGTGCTGGCTTTTGCCTTAGTAAATCTTATCGAGCTTACACTGTACATTTGAATTTAAGATTACAAAAAAAAAAAAAGATTTAGGCAATATCTGATAAGCGGCCTCTTTCTAAGGGTTGCTCTGGGAATCAGTTGTAAGTTGTGGAGAATCTCTGCCCGCCAGGCTACCCGTTCGAGATCACGTTCAGCTCGGCCACGAGATCTGTTGTGTAGGACTCGCAGAGCTTTAACGATTTGTGTAAAGTTCCACTCATGATATGAGTTACAAAATAATGTTCGAGATAATCCTTGAGGTTAATTTCGTTAGAATTACCCGATAGCATCACGAGTGCAAAAGCGTAAGCGAAATGACATTTGTACATTCGCATCTTCTCTGTGACACCACAGATTCATTTTTATTCTTCCAATTGCTTTTTTGTTCCTTCCTTCCCACTTGTGCAATCCTTCCGTCTAATTACAAATCCGAGTTTTATACTCTCCCTATATGTAAGTAATATTACATCCCCCTGCCGACTGAGAGAGCGTTAAATGTATTGGTAAAATAGTGAAAAATGAACCTGGACAAAAATTCGTGTAGAATTTACTCTAACGATTGACCTCGTTCTCTATTGATTTTCCTTCCCTCTTAATAAATTTGCTGCATCCAGAAGGGATTCGGGAAAAAGTAAGGGATGTCAGTGAATAAATCAGTAAACTAATCTACCTATGTTAGAGAATAAGAAAACTACTTACCTAGGTCAAAATATCCATCTACGCATATCAGGCCAATGATGCTCGGTGCATGGTACCTACAATAATTGGAGACATCAGGCCGAGGTGGAGATAAAGTAGAGAATGACATTGATGCTGTTCGTTTAAGTCGATATATTATTCAGGGATTTACATAGGTACATCGATGATAGGGTAAACACCTATTGGGGTTGCTAGTGGGCGGGTGGGTGGCGGATACAGGAGATAGTCTCGATGATATAGCTTAATCGACGTACGTCTCTCTCTTTCGTATTACGTTTCTTATTATAAAGGAGTGAGTACATGTCTACAGCGGAGCGTCGCCATCCGCAGCAAGTCGTCGAGGAGTTTAGTATCTAAGTAGACAGATATACAAAACATCATTTATCGTACAAAATAGTCTTGGTCGCGTCTCCCGTTTGTCTCTCTGATCGGCAATTCTTCATGGCCGCAACCAACCAATTATTCGAATGTCGCCGACCGTCCGAACATTTCGCTTCCCTCGAAGTAGCTTTATTTTTTCTCATTTTCTGTTTTCTCCTCTCTTGACTCACGAGCATCTTTTTCATTTCGCTCCTTCCTTTCGAGCTTCGTTTCACTTCCGAGCCGGTGCACACGCACTTGCTCAGACTCACGCACACACACGCACACACACTCACTGCTTCGTAGCCTTTGTCTCTATACGCATCGAGTCTTTTTTCTCACGGGGAATCAGTTTAAGCGAGGATAGTAACGGCAGGTTTCCTACTCCTTGACGTGGCGAACTTTTATACGGCAGACTGACCATGCTAATGACGACACGCCCGAGACAACGGCCGGAGAGAGAGAGAGAGAGAGAGAGAGAGAGAGAGAGAGAGAGAGAGAGAGAGGATACTTGCAAACAAAACCAAATTCCCAGTATTGTACTATGATTCCAGTTTTATTAAACAAATTAAATACAAAAGGTTTTCTTCTTGTCGCATCTCTTTAAGTTATAAATAATTAAAATAATGTAGTTTTCCAGGAGATGCTAAGGTGAGGGGGGATGGGAGGTAAAGGGAGAGGAATAGAGGGGGGAGGGGGAAGGGGGAGGGGACAGAAAGCCCATTGAGCGAAGGTTATAAATAAAAATTGTATTAGAAGAATAAACGCTTCCAACTTTTCATCCCGTTTTAACATTGTATCTCGTATCGCTATAACGCTGCTACGAAATTTGTTTTTGAAAATGCCTGACCATTAGATTTCGAAACCGACAATTTTAAAAAGCAACTATTCTGCCCTCCCGTGTGAATATACGTGTCAGAATCCTATAAACGTTTTTGTGCAGTTCCCTGTCGATGGGTCGAGGAGTTTGTGAAAATTCATATTTCTTCGCAGGAACGTCTCGGAACACTGAGAATTAACTCTCGCGAGGAATCCCAAGTGATTTTCACGCAGTTAAGCGACCTGACCTGCGTCGGCAGTTTCTGATCCAGCCGATTCAACGGGATCGAGAGTAGTAAAAGGAAAATCATTCCCACGCACTACGCAGAGAGTTTAGCTGTAATTGTACTATGGATACTCTGGAGAGTGGGAGCGGCAGCCAGCAAGAACCGCGCAGAGTTACCTGGTTGCTCCGCATGTAAACTTGTTGCATGTAACCTGTTTGCTTCTCTCGGATTGCCAGATGTTTCGAGAAGACGGAAAAACGTGACGAGCAGTCGCAGTGCCCGTGCCGATAATCGGTCGCCTATCCTCAAGAATCCAAGAGGCAGTCCAAGTCGGACGAAGCCGAGAACTTGGCCGGGGGTCACGTGTCTCAAAAGACTCCACGGCCCTGAAGGACAGAAGCGTGTCGCACGGGATCCGTAAAATTGAAATGTCGGCGATGGACGTGTAAATGCATTTGGAATGAATCCGTACGCTCCTCGTAAGTGGAGGTGTAAAATGAAAATTAAGAAAACGGAGATGACGATAAAACAAAAAAATAAAAGAATAAGCGCCACTGGTCAACATTGAGTTCGCATAAAACGTAAAGAATCATCTTTCCGTGCCGACGCTTTACGATTTGAATGTCAGTTAACGCGGGTGAGGAGCACGTTTAAGAGCTTCTTCGAGAACATTTGGGTAATATTTAAAAGGTAGGATATGTACAAAGAGAGATATATATAGTAAAGTCAGTGCCTACGAGGAATCCTTGAAAACGTGTAAAGATCGCTTGCAAAGATTCCTCGGTGACGCCTGGATGTTACCGGCTGCCAAGGAGTCGGACAGTAGGGCTACGCTTTGACGAAAAGCTTCCTCAAATAATTTTCCCCCCTCCGTTCGGTATGTTGGAAAAACCTCATTCTTCGAAAATCAAGAGAAAGTTCCTCGCCGAAACGTGAGAAATTCTATCGGCACTCCGTGTCCGGCATTATCGTACGCTCGGCAGATATTGCAAACGGCACCTCGGAGATTAGGCCCCTTTCTTGCCAGCGCACCATTAGTCAAACACACATGCACGCGCTCTCGCACTCTCGCGTAGACGTTAGGACACGCACACATACGGCAGACTCGCCAATTTTCATAATCTCGTTTTCGCAGCCGCGCAGACATTTTTTGCGAAATTTTCAAAACCTGCGTGCTATTTTCTTTCCACTCCGACAAATGAGTGACGATCGGCCTGTCTCTCTTTCACTGATACTTTCCTTCGTCTTCTGCTCGTATCGCTTTATTCTCGCTACTTCTTTTTCCTCCTCTCCATCTCCCGAGTGTCCGCGAAGGAAATACAAAGAGAGCGAGAGAATTCTAATGGTTTACACGTCGCAAGCGAAACAGGAAGAGCCCCCCCCCCCCCCCCCATACGAGACTCCCAACTCGTTCACTGATACTTTCCTTCGTCTTCTGCTCGTATCGCTTTATTCTCGCTACTTCTTTTTCCTCCTCTCCATCTCCCGAGTGTCCGCGAAGGAAATACAAAGAGAGCGAGAGAATTCTAATGGTTTACACGTCGCAAGCGAAACAGGAAGAGCCCCCCCCCCCCTCCACATACGAGACTCCCAACTCGGGTGGAAAAATCTAGCCAAGGTTCCAAGAGCGCCACTTAATCTTCCTTATCTCTTTGCAAATCCTCTCAGCATTTCAACTCTTCTCTTTCCCTTATTCTCTCTCTCTCTCTCTCGCTCCGTCTGCTTCCCTCTCGTCTTCCTCTCGACTAAAAACTAAACGCTACGCTATGTACATCAACTTATATGCTACGGAGCTTTCAAGGGCTATCCTAAAAGTATATAATACAGACGCCGCCTCGTACTCAGCGATACACGATATATAACATCTTTGGGCTCGATTTATTACACATTTATAGATTATAACTTCTTAAAACCACGGATCGAATTGTATCTCCGTCGTTTATCAAGCGGAAGCAGAGGAATCGAAAGAGCAAGGGAGAGGGGATGGTCCTCCTCGTCCACGTGTCTCTCCACTCTCTTGCTCCTCGGCTCTCGCGCTTCGTGATTCTTCTTTGCACTGAAAGTACTGCGTTAGACCCTCCTTCGAAGCGACTTCGAGAATTATGAATATATATTTTTGTTTCGACAGTCGATCGGACGAATACCCTGGGGCCAGGTGCTTCCGAGAGTGAATCAAACGATTCCGAGGAGACTCCGGACAGTCGCCGAGACGCGATACTCCTCCGTTATGTAATTTTAATTTCATCCTTTTTTTTCCCCTTAAACTATTTCGTATAGTCTGAAAACTATGAATTATCGTTAAAAATTTACGTAGAAAATATTCAGGTCTGACTTTTGCAGGTCGTCGAAGTTACGTACCGACGAGCGTTCTTGCCACAAATCTTCGTCCAGGGCATTCGTCCGGTACATCTAAACGTTTCGTAGGTTCCCTTCGCTCGATTTCCGGTTCGTAACAGTCTTGTACTGGTGCGCGACTTCACGGTCGATAATTACGATCACTACAGCTAATGCATCGTGACTCTAGAGAGATTTATGGATGCCGGATTTATTAGGGTGGCGTCGCGACGCCTTCCGAGAGCTTTTCCACTCTGACTCGTTACGTTTCCTCTTGAAAGAGAGCACGTGTGGTTATTATCGACCGATCTATTCATCTTTAAATTAATTAAAAAGTAAAAACGGTGGAATTCACTAAGAAAACGGACGACCCGGGATGCGCCTGCGAGAATGCACGATGGCTCGACTTCCTTGTCCCGTCGACTTTACACCGCAGACACTTGAGCATCCTCGTCATCTGAAACATTTCGAAGAAAAACGATTACGAGCCAGCCAATTCATCTAGCGCGCTGCCGCGCGATGCCTCGCGATCTGGTAAAGCGAATGAAAACCGAATGGATTTCCTTTGGGATTTTAAAGGAACCTTTCGTAATTCACACGGAATCTTACCAGCCTCGATGAACTCGAACGGAAGACGCAATGCGATTAGAATGCGGATTAGTTGTGCTTCCGTTTTACACAAGGATAAAAATAAAAACTTAAAAAACAAGATTCAAAGGCATCTCGTGCAAAATCAAAAAAAGAAGCAAGCAAAGGAAGCTCTAACAAACCTGTGGGGTGGCTCTCTCAAGGGCTAATCTAATGCACACTCGCAAGAACGATGCACTAGGAAAGGAAAAACGAGGCAGTTCCTTGTGGCAAAGGATGATGGCTGCCTTATCAATAGTTACTTATCACAATGACCAAGGCTTGTGTCTGGCAAGCAAGTGGGTGAGTATCGTGTGTATGTGCCTGGTGGCAGAGATTAAGGACCAGAGTGCCTGTGTGAGACAATTTGGAAAACTCGGAGCGACACGCAAGCACAATGTGCGTCTCCGGGGACACAGAGAAGAGTGCTGACGTCACGGAATATGTGTATATATGTGTACAGGTACGAGGAGACACTTCCAACACGTACAACACCGATTTACTCATTTACATGTTAGATTCGTTATTTACAGAACCAACGAGACTTTGCGCTCGCTCGATCAACATATTTCGACAATCGATTCGATACTCGACCTGGATCATCCGCAACGGCTTCGGCTCCATGGCAGACCGCACCCAGAAAGGGGCCAACGGTTTCACGAAAATTGAATTTTCTCATGCCTTTCATGGATGCTAGAGACGTTGCAAATGACCAGAGAGAGAGAGAGATCAGCTGGTATCGAGTCTACTCGGATGGTCAATAGAGCGTCTTTAAAGTTGACAAGGACGAGGGTTGATTATGAATATGTGGAATACGGAGGTGATGGTAGAGTACGTAGAGAACGATTGGTAGTACCATCCTCGTGGTCGGCCCGGTAGGTGACGCCTTCGTGACTGTGGGCCCGACCTAGCCTGTGCAACCTGGCCATGTGCGCAGCGACCTTGTAGGCTGGCGGTTGCCGGCACTGGGTACCACCGGCGGCCCGCATCGCCGTCATCGGAGTCATCGTCGTCGTAGTCATCGTCGTCATCGTAGTCATAATAGTCGTCGTTCCTCCTGGTGGTAATGGCGGTAGCATTCCCATTCCCAATCCGACTCCCATTCCGCCTACGCCTACGCCAGCTGAACCTGAAAACCCTCGTCTTCCTCGTTCTCGTTTTTTTTTCTTGGTCTCGCGAAAAACAGCGATTCAATTTCATAGGGGGTAAGATTTTTCGGAAAAGGAATTGGATCTTTGAAATCCGAACGAAATTTTCGTACAGTCGTTCAGGATCAGCGCGCAGCAGCTGTACCAAGAGACGACACGATCTTCATTTTGGTAATTTTTCTGCAATTAATTACAATTGTTTCGAATATTCCAAAAAAATTAGCTATTAGGTAAATCACCAAAATCAGTCGGTCGTTTAGGTCGAGGATGGACACACGACAGAAGGGGGTTATTTACTATTAGTCGTCTCCAGGATGCATTACCGTGAAAGTGTTAAATGTCAGTATAATGAAAAAATAAGCATTCCTGTTATTCACAGAGAGTGAGAGTGAGAGTGAGAGAGAGAGAGAGAGAGGGGATGGATGACGAGCATCCGCTTCCGATAAAACTATCATCATGAATAGACAGATCTGCAGAGACCAACAGAGACATACGAAAGACACTTAGAAGAGACACGCGACTTGCGTTAACGGTTGGTAATCGTGCAAAATGGAATTTTCTCATGGCAAGAAAAGAGCAAAGGAGCAAAGGAGCAAACCAGCGACACTCTCCTCTCACTTTCTCTCTCTTTGAAATGTAGTGTAGTAGCAGCAGCAGTGGGTCACACTGGACGCAACTAGAAAGCGATCAGCAAGCACGAAGCACAAGAGTCGAGCGAAGCCAAGAAGTGCAAGATCAGCTGTCAGTAGCAGTGATGGTAGTGGCCACTAGTGAAAGTGCTGCTGATAATTGAAAACGGATGAGAACGAAAGAAAGAAAGAAAGTAATAAAGCAAGAAGAGAGGCACCAAAGGTTAAGCAGCAGTGAACGCGGACCGCGGATCCAGGCACACTCACCTTGAGGAGTTTGGGGTTGGTGGTGATAATGGTGATGGTGATGGTGTTGGTGATGATAGTTGTGGTTCTGGTTGTGATGGTTGTGGTGGTTGTGGTGGTTGGCAGGAAGCGGAGGCAACACTGCTACCGCGTGAGGAAATGGGGGAACTCCTCCCCTCATGGCAGAGCCTGCACCACATACGTTCACGTGACAGAAATCCCACCCAAGAAGTGCTTTGCCAATCCATTTATCTATGTAGTATGTAGCACGTGGTATATAAACTAAGCCCTCGGCGCTCCCGCTACTTGGGACCACGTGTACCAGAACTCTCCAAAAATGTCACTCGAAAGACGATTGGATAGTAATTGCAAAAATGAAGCTTCCTCGCGATATTTAAGCAAGATAATGGTAAGAAGTCAGGGAGAAGCGGAGAGTCACGACTCGCTTATGGGAATCCAAATAGTCGACTGTCAAATTTTAATGAAATAATTCAAAGATATGTATATACGCGTAGAAAGTGGTTAAAAAATTTATCAATGACCGTGATTCTTGTTAATTTTAGATACTTATTTATATAGGATGTCTCATCGAAAGTGCACACCTTGATTATTTCCATTACTAATAATGAATGAAGATACGGGAAAAAGTTTCATACAAAAGTTGTATGGTTTCAAGGGGTCGATTTTTCATCCAATTTTTTTTTTTTATATTCATTTGATTTCGAGATACAGCACGTTACATGTTATTTTTTTCGATGTAACATCATCTGGATGAGAAATCGACCCCCTTGAAAATCCATACAACTTTTGTATGAAACTTTTGCCCGTATCTTCATTTTATTAGTAACGGAAATAATCGAGGTGTGCACATTCGGTGAAACAGCATCCCTGTATACTTTTCAATTCAAGAAAAGATAACAAGTATAAGCCATGGGACATACGTATACCCGTAGGTGGATCAGCCGGTCAATAAGAATTTCGCGGAAAGGGAAAAGTACAAAGAAAAATGAAAGAAAAAGAAAAAAGAAAAAGAAAGTGAATGAACGTAATCGGTGGACCGGAAGTAGAATCGGCCGGCTCGAAATCCGACGTCGACGCGCTCGTGTCTACTGCAAGATTTGAAACCGCGTCCTGCCCAAGGGCTGCTCACTCTCTTTCTGTTCTCAGGAGACGCTACTCTACAGAGTCTACAGGGTTGAAGAACAAAAAGGAAATGGAGGGCTGATTCGGCGAAACTATTTACAGGGGTTACGTACCTGGCATGGCGGAATGCCTTCTCGGTGGCGGTGGTGGGCTCCCACCGGCCTCGACGCTGCTTCCGCTATGGCTGTCCAGCTGTGTGCTGTGACCGCTGTCACTGCTCGTCACCGAACCTACGCACACGTCCCCAAGACACTTCTATCACTACAGATGTTCCAGCCCAACCTAACCCTAAAACTTTCGTCGCGAATTCTTTCTCTTTCCGGGTAGCAGCTTCTCCTCATTCTCCTCATTCTCCTCGGTAGAAAAGCTTATGTCTCCCAAAATGTTTCGTACTACTGGTAATGATCTAATGATTGAATTTAACATGTCTTTCATTCAGCAAGTGTCGTTTCAACGCATTTCAATGCCTAATATAAACATCTAAAAGCAGCTACTCTACTTAACGAAGTATGAGTATCTCGAAAGATGGTATCTGCACGGCACTGTTCCCAGAGTTCAGCTTTCGGGTGAATATGGACGCGGTATTCCCGCTAGACTACCGTATGTCCCATGGTGTGTAAAAGAGTTTTCCCAGTTAATGACAGGACGTAGAAGCTACACGCCTATTCTGAAATCGACCGACAAGCGCGCCCTGGGCGTGCAAAATGCGTGTGCGAATAGGAGAAACGTAATGACATGGAACATTTATGAATTGCGAAACGGCTGTGCAGCGTGCAGTACATAGGAATTTATAAACGAACCCCGACCGGTGTAGGAACGAGCAACGTAGGTGCAAGTACGATCCGAAACGAGCACTAGAGTTCGAATACTTCTCGTTCCGGACCGTTTAAAAAGTAGAGAAAGACGAAAGCACCCTGCGCTACTTACCACTCGTGAGGGTCTTTCGGAGCGGCTGAAGGTTACTCAGACTCGTGACGCTGCTGCTTTCGGCACTCAGGTCAACGGGTGGCGGAAGACCGGACGGCGTATCACTATGTGACCTCTCGTGCATTGGAACTCGGCTTCCCGAGCCTACTCTTCTTGGTGCACCAGGACTCGGTTCGAGACCAGTCGAATGCAAGGCCAAACCTGGCACTGGCAGTGGCGGCGGTCGGTAGGGACGAGTCTTTTGAGGATCCGAAAGTGCCAACATTTTTCTCACGGCTTGCGGCGACGCCGCTCCGAATTTTGTACCTGTCACAAACATTATACGTGAAATTTTTCAAAAAAAAAAACAAAAAAAAAGAGTTACGAATTATCATGAATTGATTCGGAACCGGTATAGAGAGTTCAACAAACCTTGTATGCTCTTTCTACCTTCACTAGTGCTACTGGCGCTACTTGTCGTCGATAACGTGGGTGAAGGATGCCTTCTTCCTCGACTTCCTCCAAGTGGGACTGCGGCAGCCACGGCCACGGCTCCTGCGTGGGGTTCGCAATCCACGGAGAGAGCGTGCAGACGTTCCTCATCCGTGATGACCTTCATGTTCGCGAGGTACGCCTTTACCCGTCGTACCATTTGAGCTTCCTCGAACATTTTTTTCGGGTTCGGCGCGGCCGTCGACTTCTTGCGTCTCTTCACCGTTGCTGTTTGTCCTCCTGTGGGAATAAAAGTGTACCGTGTAACACTGTATCGCTAAATGTTCGTGGGAGTGATGCTTTCGAAACTTCTCGGCTGGTACACCATACCTTGATTTCCTGTTGTCATTTGGTTTAAGGCGACCATAGCTGAACTGGGGGGCTGACCACCTCGTTCGAGCATCGTCAGAAGATCGTACGGAGAGGAACACATGTTAGTAAGTGTTCGAACTTCCTTGGCAATCATTCTGAGCTTCTCAAAATTAACTAGACCCTCCACCCTCGAGTCATTACCCAAATGAATGAAAGTCAGATCCTTCTTAACAACCGGATAGAATGGAATCTGAAACAATTTTTATAATCCTTAGTAGATTCAGTACTGTTCCATAAAAGAGAATCATATGTACGCATCATAAATTATACTCACGATTGGCGGTTGGGTTTGTTCAGATGCTACCAACTGGCGATATTTACTCATGTTTCGACTGGGATCCATAAGTTCCTGCAGATCACTGAATAGCCTTTGATATTTACTCGGCAGTTTCTCCCAGGACGCTCTCAATCTAGATACTGCCCCGTGTCCCAAGCCGGACACGATAGCGAACATCGAATTGAAGTTTTTGCATTCCTTGCATTGTCCTGAGATAATGTAAAATAGAGCCGTGAGACGTGAGCCGAGCCGTGTACAGCCCGCAATAAGCACTAACGAACGCTGACTGAGACTTACGAGCAACTTTAATGAACTGCTTAATGATTTTGCTTCGCCTTACGAGATTGTGCTCGGAACAGACTTCGGTCACCACCCAGAACATTTCTCTGTTGACTAGCTCCGCGAACTGACTTAGCATGGGTACACCATACCTGCTCTTTAACTCGAATAAATCATCCACGTATTCGGTAGACTCAATTTGTCTGCAAATACACGTAACGCCATGTGTGAAAACTCGGCACGTTAGAGGAGATTGAAATTGAGCCAAAATTAGTGCAAATGACCTTCCTGTACGAAACTTGAAGCGAGAGACAACGGGTGTCATTACCTGAATATACTAAAGTCCTGCAGGGTAAGCTGAATCGCAACTTCGACGGCATTCAGTTGCAAGAAATGCACCTGGGATTCGCGTACGAGTTCTGGAGCTTGCTCATCCGCTACCAGCGTTTCGGAGACACCATTCGTCTTCAAATAATATCGCGAACTGAGGCCGATTCTCTCAGCGAGATTCTGAAGTTGATCGGGCAATCTACGCTGCTTGATCATTCCTCCTTCTCCGACGCTTACTTCAGCCAGAGAGAAGTTTGAACTACTTTCTGTTATACCGAACTCTTGAAGAGCTAACATGACCACCTGAATCGAATAACAGAAAAACATCCGTCATAAGATTACAGTCTAATTCTGAAGCTTAGAATTATGGAAATTATAAGCAGCGCAAGAGCTCACCTCGTGGGCTGTTGTTTCCTTGTGAACGAGCAGGTACTTGCAAGTCTGATCAGCCTTATAGACCTTTAGAACGTGTTCCGGGTAATCGGGTGCACGAAGATCGTCGTAACAGTAGAGAGACGTGAGGTCAGGATTACTTCGCGAGTGATAGAGGTTGGTAGTGGTCTGCGCAAGACCCGTACCCGGTGGCGTGTGTGGTGGCGCCAATGGATCGTCCACGTGCACTCCATCGCTATCGGAAGTCAAGAATTATGGTAATGTTCCTATGATATTGAGCAATTTGTCATCAAATTTATGTCACTCACTTGATTGTGTTCTTTGGCAATATATTCATCTTCACGAGAGCCCTCTGAAGTCTCCTCTTGGGACCGAGGGTCATGAATCCTTTATGTTCCTTCTTAGCATCCTTACACGGAGACACGTTGCTATCTGGCATCAGAAGCGGCACACCACCAACTAGAGGATTTAGAGGATTTACAACAGGAGTGATCGGATCTACATGAGTCGAAAGTCTGGCCCGCGGGTCAGTCTGCAACCTCGGCATTTCCGGCTTGTTCGTTCTGCCTCGAGGTCTTGGTGAGTTATCTGGCATCTGAAGCATTTCCTTGAAGGCTGTCGAATACACAAGAGAAAAAATTCATATACAAGACAGCACAGAGAAGTAGAAGCAAAGTTGCGGCATAATCGAAAGAACGATAAACACTAACCTAACAAATTAGACTTCACGGTAATGCTGAGATGCGTCGAGCCACGAAGAATTTCCAGAGCTCTCGCGTGACTGACATGTTCGAAGCTCTGTCCATTCACTTCGAGGATTTGATCGCCTCTTTTCAATCCCACATCCTCAGCTTTTGACCTCTTGTCAACCTTGGAAATGAAAATGCCAAAACCTCTTTCGTAACCCCCAAGGATACTGAAATGAAGCACTTCATCCCTACTTGGTCTCGCTAGGGTAACGTTTCGCGTTCTTGCCTTCGCCGCGCACGCTATGTTCAGTAACCTGAAATTAAGGACGAGAAATTCGTTATCCAAGTGGCCAAAAATATGATGTCTGGCAAGCAGGCAAAAGAGGACCCACCTTTGTTGACCCTGCATCTTTTCTTTTTCCAGACCAGCCTCGAAAGCCTCCAAAAACTCCATCATGGCAGGATCAGTTTCAAAATCCGTGAAATGATTATTCACCCAGAGAAGTACAACTCGCGTGACACGATCTCTGACTTGTATCTGATCAAACCATTCTAAAAGTTGATCTGCTACTAAAAGCGGACTGTCTATGAAGGTTCTGTGAGTCAAGAGGAAGTCCTCAACGTATGTAGGATCCGTGATGCTATTCTCTTCGATAAGCTGAAGCATCAACCGCTCCGGAGTACCCCGGATCACTACGTGCCCTCTTCTGGCCGCACCATCCAATGCGCCTCTCAATTCAGTCACCAGAATAACTCTACCATTTTCCTCATGCCTCCTAGTGTTCTCCTCACCCTGATGCTGAATACGGAAGTAGTCTGCTTGCGTGACGCAGACAAATTGGCAATCGTCGCACCTACGAATTTTACATTTCCGATTTGTTAGATAGAGTCGCAAGGAATGTGGGAAAGTCGAGGAATCTCATTTTTGCACTCACTTTGTTCTCATAATACCGCGATGCAGTAACCTTTCCATAGTAGGCAGGATCCCGAAGCTGTCACCCAGGTGAAGCTGCTCAACCTCGCCATTACTGTGTTCTACCTCGACTGCACCGTTTATCAGTACACTCCAGCTATCTAATTCTTCACCATCGTTTAGGACAACCATGCCCGCACGTTCGACGACCGCAAATACCATAACCGCGCACAGCGCTCTTCTCACAGCCAGAGTCATATTTGTGAAGGCCTTTAGATGCTGAGTAAACTCCAGTAGAATCTCTATGTCATCTTCTGTTCGTTCGACTGGATCCTTTTCTAAACACTCTCGTACAGTGTCACGAACAGTCAGACTCTGAAAGAGAAAGTGTATTATGTACTTTAATATACTTGTACGTCTTAATAAGTTCTATTAGATTCTATTTAAGAATGAAAAGAGTACCATGCATTCATGTTCAATACTTACGTCCATGCTCTCCGCCAGATCTTCCTCCTCATCACTGTCTACTATAGATTCAACGAGGCCAGAAAGATCAACCTCATCTGCATCTGCGTCCAGAGAGCTTTGTACCGATGTCATGGTGTCTGAGCCACTGTATGCAGAACTTGTATCACTCGAGTGGCTACTTCTGTTAGATTTCTGGTATAGCTCCGGCCTGCCCGTCAGGCCTTGTGAAAACTATGACACAAACAACAAATGTATTCAATATTATTGAAAAGTAATCGACAATACTATTTTTATTAATCAATTGGCCCTACTGTTCAAAAACAATGATAAGGTGTGAATGGAGAAGGTAAAAGGAAAAAAACAAATTTGCCAGATTTCAAATTCTGCTGATTATCGAGGCTCATTCATGTGCTGTGTTTGCAAAAAGTGCCAATATACATCAGAGGTAAAATGTGTCCCCCTTGCAATTAAGAAGGACAGACGGTATGGTATGATTAATCACCTAAAGAATATGCAACGATGTTAAATTGTTTACGTATACATACTGCACAAGGAAAACAAGAGCTAAGGCCATTGTCTAACCTTGCGCCTTCGCAATACGAGTATACATAATATTTCCAATCACATCCATGCTGCTTTAAATATTCGGACAGAACATTGATCGGTAAGTTTAACGTGAAAATCTCCCAGAAGTAAACATAAGTCCCTACAACGACTTAACGAAGGAAAAATATTCAAATCGAAAAAAATTATCGATAACATTCCCGAACATAAGTCTAGAAAGGAAAAAGCCCTGAAAAGGCGTCGCAGTGGATAGAAAAGAATAAATTCCTAGAATGGGCGTGATTGGGCCAAGCTGCGCTCGCACGTTAGGTTAGGACGGCCGACATGACATCACGCACCACACACACAAGCCAAGCCACACGCCCGGCCAAACAAAACAGCATTGGCTGTCATCACGAATAGAAAGACGTTAGCAGAAGCTGGGTGAGGCTGAACGCGAAATAGATCTCCGAACACGAGGAAGTTACACGAAGCGTGCAAAGGCCAAAGAAAATCCGTCAAGACAATCTTTCAGAGAAAGGTAGGGGCAGACCGTGGGAGCGGACTAACAGGCAGCCAAGCAAGCAGGCTGGTTGGTTGGTTGGCCGAGCCCCGAGAAAGGACCACGCGCAAACCAAGGCCATTTTCAGCAGAAAATTAACGACGAACAAGTAGCGACGGACTCACTTGATACATGCCGAAGGCGTCCATCCTTTGCATTGGCACACTCGCGATCTCACCACACACTGATATTAACGAAAAAGCAAAATCATCCGAACAGGCGCGTGCATTCTCCTGCGTTGTTGCAGCGGCTTCCTTTTCTTCTCTGCCACTTTCTGCGCGCGCGCTCTATCGCCTGTGTTTTTCTTGTATCACACAATCTAACCACGTACTCCGTGAGAGAATATGATGATAGCGTTCGCCGTGCTCCGTCGGCCGTCACTAGCCGTCACTAGCGACACCGTCAGAGAGCCGATCCACAATGTTGGCGGACTGACGCACTATATGTATAGTCACTTGTAGTTACTGTACTAGCGGCCCACGGAACGAGATCCCTCATCCCCACCTATTCTGATTATACTGCAAGAGGTGATGGTCACGTGACACAAGAGAGATCTCAGGGCCGACCCTACAGGGGGCCCCCACCTGTAGCTCTTGCCTGTTCCTACCGCTTCGATCCTATCGCAGAGGATGCGCCACAGAACTATATTCGCCAAAAGCAGGAAGAAATTCCTCGCGGAAAAGCTGCCAATAACCTCGTATGTACATACGTTTCCAGTTCTCGAAATAAAAAGGTAAGAAGCACTGAATCTGTCGACTGTAGTCCGTCAATCGAGCAAAGCTGAGAGGTGAGAGGAAAATGCAAGAGATGTGCTGCCGCCAGCAGCAATCGCACAGTGCAGAGCAGCAGTAACAACAGCAACGGCGGTACAGAGCTGACAGAGGCCACTGGCCGAACCGGCTCATGATGTATACGACCCGTTATGCCGCACCGTCTCTCACTTTTCCTTTTGTCCGCATACTTTCCGAATTGTTCGGTCTCATTCAGTTCCAATACCTCTCTCGAGGGACTGCGTAGCATCGGCAGTAACGCCGATGATCCCTTAGACATAACACGCTAACTTCTCATGGACTTCCAGAAACTAATAAAGACGCATGAAACGGAATATAGTGAGAGACAGTCTATGTCTGGCACAGGAGCATGGATGAATTTACAGCCATATCTCTGCTCGTAGGGAGAATTGCGTTCGTGAGAGGGCGTGAGAGTGAAATTCACTGAGGGCAGGACATGAGGGCATGTTTATCGGTTCTTTACAATGAAACGTGAGAAGAGACGTGGGTGCAACAATTCCAGACCGCGAAGTGAGCGACAATCGCTCAGGAATAAATATAATAAAGTCAGAATCATTACCGTGTCGTCGAAAACCAGGTTGACCTGGCGATGGTCCGTAATGGGATGAGGATGTGGAGGACGATGCATCCTTCCTCCAGCATGTATTTCCGGGTAGTCAATCTGTAAAATGAAGTGGATAACGATATTAGCCACTAATACTTATCTCGTATTGCATTACGATATTAGCCTTTTTTAATGAACTGCGAGGATATTTCGGCAGTCAGTCGGCCGAAACACGAGGCGCATTTAGTATTACGCGATACCGTGCCTGTGTAACTTTTCTCTTGTAGCAGCCCGACTGAGCTCTGTGTTCTCTGTTTGTCGGATACAGTGACAGCCCTTGTTGCCAGAAAGACAACAAGATGCGAACGCACGTCGAGCCGGAACTCGTAGGCCGGACTTCCGGCAGATACACAACGCGACTGTTCGCCATTCATAACAGAGGCACAACAGCCCGTCGAGCCTCGTTGCCAGCGTCAAACTCCTGCTTCAGTTTCAGTCTCACTTTGCTTTCGGTTTCCATAAATGATCTCTACTGCAAGTCAATAAATCAATGGTCCATAAGAGGATCTCGGTCAGTCGTCTCTCGAGAGACGATCAGAGTTCTGACGAAAACAAAGAGGCGACTTACTCAATTTAATATTGTGCGCAATTGACGATCGGAAAGGAAATGTAATCTGCGGCAGACGGCGCCGACGCCATAAGAAAACTGGGAATATTCGAAGGAAGAAAGAAGCCGAAGCCGATGAAAAGTCGCGCTCTAGTTTTAAGCCAATTCGAATTTTCCGGACGGCTTCAAAATATTGAATTCTCTCAGGTATCTTCCCAAACGATTTCTCGCCGCGTTCCTGAGAAATCCTTAAGGACTTTGTTCGGGTGCCCCCTCTACTCACACACGGTGCGTAAGAACGGGCTCTCGAGCAATAGGATCGAACAGAAGCGACTCCGTTTGCCCGAGCCCAATTACACGGTGGAACAGAAGGAGAAGGTAAAGCGACGGCGAACTCGCAAAACGAAGCTGAGCCAAATGAAACGAGAGGCGCGCGTGACGCGACGCGTAAACAACTACGCAGCAATGTGTGTGTGCAGTTTTGGTTGCGCAATAAAGAAATCACAAAGAATTGATGGTCGACGAGAATCGAGTGTCAAACGAGCAGGACGGGCAAGCAAAGCCACCGCCGTCTTTAATTCCTTTGTTAGACTCGGAACGGGCAGCAGGATTAGCCTGGCAATTATTAGCCGCCTCGAGTCCACTTGCGTCGCATCCTGAGGGTCCTTCGTTCGATGCAGCCATTCGTTCCCAGAAAAGGTTAGACTCGCGTGATGCTTTGCAGGTATCGTCAGGAAGGTAAAAGGTCCGACGTCCTTCGGGCACGGGAATTCCTATTGCTGTAGTTTCGCCAAAACGCAGCTGACAAATGGTGTCGAAGATTTTCCAAAATCGATCCGAACTCATTGAGGAAGCAAAGGCAGTCCTGAAATACCCCAACTATTTCGAACCATTTTGCCTTCTTCCAATTGCTTCTCTGCGTGGGCCCCGTCTCGACCCGCGTGGGTGAACTCGGCCGCACACACGTTAAACGTCTCGGTAGATGAACTCGCATGTACCAGAAAGATACGGACGGACACCCACGCACTGAGACAGCAGGACGCATCTCGTGCAGCTTCCACAGGCAAGAGAGAGAGAGAGAGAGAGAGAGAGAGTGCACACGCGTGCACGTCCAGACACATGAATGCGACCACGAGGAGACGAGAGGAGTGAATAAAAATACACAGGGAGGCGGAAGAGCCAGTGCACACGCGTGCACGTCCAGACCCACGCACTGAGACAGCAGGACGCATCTCGTGCAGCTTCCACAGGCAAGAGAGAGAGAGAGAGAGAGAGAGAGTGCACACGCGTGCACGTCCAGACACATGAATGCGACCACGAGGAGACGAGAGGAGTGAATAAAAATACACAGGGAGGCGGAAGAGCCGGGAGAGGCGAGGCACCTATTTCCGAAAGCAATGAATAGCGGATGGGGCCTTAAGCGTAATTCGAGGATGCATCGGGCTTTTGTTTACCTCGGACGAGACGACGGAGAGGGTGTTGGGTGTCCCGGGCCAACTCCTGGACACGGAACGACCCGTTCGCTTCCTCATGACCACCCGTGGTCTCCCAGGTCTTCCCGCATGCTTCAGCATTTTTTCTCAAAATATCTTCCTCGCACGAGAGATTTCACTTGTTCACAATAATCCTGCTAGCACTGTAATGTCTACTGCACTCTCGCGCCTGACACTCGCGCTATCCATCGCGACACCATTTCCAATATTGCGACTCTGCACAAAGAGAAAGACGCGTCGATGACAGCCAGACTTTAAGACCTGCTGCACTTCTCCATGGACATGGCACCCAGCCTGCGGCTTCCCCGAGAGTATTAAGCGATCTTCGAGAAACGTCCGCCGTGGACCCCGTGGACTCTGTGCCCGTCGAAGGCAGATGCCTGATTGCCTGGATCGCGATGCAAAATCTAATCGCCGAGAGAATAATGGTGGCTGGACGGAAGGAGAATGGAGAACAGGCAAGTATCAGGGTGGCGAACGAGCCGAACGAGCCGAACGAGCCGAACGAAGCGGACGATTCGCTGGACACAAACTCGACGGGAAGCCAAGCAGTACTGGAGCCACTCAGGATCCGTACGTGGAGCCGAGTAAAGAGAACGAGTCGTTCTGTCACGTGACCCTTCGCCACACACGTGTTCACGTGTCCCCCCAACCCCACCTCCTCGTGTTCATTGCTTTCTTACTTTTTTACTTTTCTCCCTTCCTATCTTCGCTCTTTACCGCGTCCTTTCTCGAACCTACAGTATTTGGGGGAAAAAGGCAGACATCTTGATGCTGTCAAAGGCAATTCCATCCGAAATTCGAATGAGATAGCGATTTTGAAAAATGACAAGAACAAGACGCGATAAGAGGGAGAAGATGGACGTCCGGAGTGGAAACAAAGGAGAAGAGCAAATCGAAGGGAGGAGCTCAAAAAATGCTCAAAAGAGTCTTATGCACGGGGGAGAGTCACACGCCTATATTTACTGATATTCATAGGCACTCGCGAGGTTCACGACGACGTCTATGCTTTATTTTCGGTTCATCCTGCAGCCGCTTTGGGACGGCATTGGCGTCAGATGCCTAAAGAAATGTCTGAAGAAAGTGTCGCGCGTACTGACGTCGTGCGCTCATCGAGCTACACTTTTTCCTCCCAATTTGCCTGTTCCATCTAGGATATGAAACACTGTAGGAGCTTACGAGCAGTACGGAACTCCTTCCGTGACGTGCACGGAGCTGCGTGCATGGGGCCTACCTCCTGTAGCTCCCCGCGTTCCCTTCGCTGCGTCTATCGGGGAAGACGACAGTGATCTTTATATCAATAACTGCTCGTTCGTGATATTTGATAAGGCAACGATCCTCGAAAGCAATAAGATAACACTCGGAGCTCAGACTATTGAGTCTTGCGACCGGAAGCACTAGGACGGAGGTCGCAGGTAGGTCGCAGGTAGGTCGCAGGTAGGACTTCCAAGCGATCGATCGCTCGCGACGATTAGCAAGGTAGACTTGGAAACGTAGAAGGAAGTTTAACTGCGGGAAAAAGAACTCAGGGATCCGACCCGTTTGCGCGTCGATCGATCACTGGAGTCGCTGCGGCGGCTTCGCCAGCGGCTCCAGATAAGAGCGTTATCAGTCTCTCGGATAGGCCTCTGTTTCCTCGAAGGCGGGGGCGGCGGCTGCTGCTTCGTGAGTAACGGAAAGCGAGGCGCCGCGTGCGCGTCCAGAATCACCCGGAGAGAATGGTACAGCCAGGAGACTCAAACACAGAGCAGAGCGTAGCGTGAGGATGCGAAAACGAAGATAAATACTGTTATGTGGTGGAACGAAGGGGAGAGAGGAGGGGATCGAGCGAGGAGGGACGCATCAATGGAAAGTGATCGGGCGAGGACGCCAGCCAGGCGCACTCGCGAGTTTCTGTCGCTGGTCGCTGGTCGCCCGTCGCAAGGGACACTAGGTGTCGCAAACTCGGCAGATTAGGCGCAGAGCGCAGATATCGGCCGAGGTGCCCGCGAGGACTGCAGCTCATTGTCAGTTCTGGCTGAGGCGAATGCGTCGTGCGGCGGCCGCACGGTCGAGGTGCGTTCACGTGACCACGTGCGTTCGACCAGACGGTGACAGGTGCACCGATCAAGGTTAGGTCATACCGCGCTACGAGAAACTGGAGGAAGAAGGTCCGGCCGATCGAATTAAAGCGATTAAGAGAGAGAGAGAGAGAGAGAGAGAGAGAGAGAGAGAGCTACGGATCTGTAGCACGAAGGAGTTGACGTAGACTTATGCCGGAAGTGAGTCCTATTCCGAGAACGGAATAGGAAGCAGATCCGGTGCTGGCTAAGAGTCGAGAGAGTCGTTCAAAGCGAAGCCAATGTCTGGGGTTGTGGTAAAAATTCGAAAAATTTGTACTTTCGACGACTCTCGTGGGCGCCCGACATTTTTGTCTGGCCGCTGGCTTATTTTCGGAACGACGCACCATTCCTGCTGGGCTGTGCACGTGCATGCGTGAGGGAACGAGAAGGAAGGTAAGAGAGCGAGAGAGCGAGAGAGCGAGAGAGAGAGAGAGAGAGAGAGAGAGCTGCCAAGAAGCAAGGGGAGAAGAAGGAGGACCGGAGAGAGTGAGGAGAAGGGCTTTCGCCGGAGGGTTTTTGTCAGAACTGTCTGCCGTTCTGCTTCCGAGAACGACGCCGTTGAGCTGGACAAGTCGAAGGAACGGAAAACCTTCGGTTCACCTAGTTCTGACAGTTTCAACGGGACTTAGGCTTCGGAATTCCCAGCAGTCCTTTTCTCCCGCAGCTCCGGCGGCTCCAGTGACTCCTCCGTTTTCTTTTTCATTCATTTCAATTTTTTCGCTTCTCATATTTTGCGCCGGGAATATTACTTACCTACTTAACACGTACTCTTAGTTCTGTCCGATGAACCATGAGAGAAATTCATTCTCCCGAGTACCAAGTTTTTTCTTTTTTTCCAAAGAACACAAAAGTCATGAGCGTCGAGACGCGAGCGTCCATGTCACCCGTTTCATTTATTTTCTTGCAGTCGCGGTGACTTCTAGCGAGGACCTCATTCAAGTCAGGACAGTTAGATACGTTTACGCACACCGGATGTGGCGAGCGTCCTCCTTTTCCAGCGGGAATTCTCCCTCTCTCTCTCTCTCTCTCTCTCTCTCGGAGATACACTTGCTAGAATTATTTGGGATTCCGGCATCATCGACCACGACAACGACGCATTTGGAACTCTCGGAATTGACGATCTTTTAATGTGATGTAATCAGTCGTGAGCTATCGTCTAATTTAGGTCGAAAACCACAGACTGCCATTTTAAGTTAATTGTTTGCAGAAGCGTCAAGGCGACGCCCCGTGCAGTCTGAGCTATTTTGACCATCTTGGGAGATGCGTCTTTGACGAAAGGTCTAAACGAAGAATCTTTTAAATCCTCGACTACCTACCTGAACGCAGTCGCGTCCCTCAGTTAAAATTCTTAAATATTTGTTATTGTTCCACTATCGGTAATTGACTCTATATCGAATGGACGACGACGAAGCTGCTCGTGCCTGTCCGTCCCGACGGCTGCCGTCGGCTGGTACCGAACAGGACAGACGATACGCATGCAGACAGTGACGTCAAACGTAGGCGTCCGTAAGTTTCGCGAGCGATAGGGAATTTCCGACGGGTGTTCCATCCGCGCCGATAGTCACTCCCACTGATGACTCGAGTGCATTTCCCGTAGGACTTCACAGGCGCGTGGTTACGCGATCCACCCTTCCTCGTTCAATCCCAACCCCCATCATTCTGGTTTGTAGGATAAATCTCGGGGAAAATTGATCCCTCGAATATTGTAAAGAGTCGTGAAGCGAGAGGAGCAATGAGAGAAGCCTCCCTCGAGCATCGACATCGTGGCAGCACGTTCCGCCCCGACTGGAGAGACACGAGTGGCCGTTCTGCCGAGTGAGTAGGCGAGGGCGCCACGAGCGAGCAAAGCTAATTATGACACGAGGTTGACTCTAATTCGTGCGAGGCTACACGTACTGCTATAAGTAATAGGATTACCTTAATTAGCTCAAGGGACAAGAGGTGGAACGATGAACCTCTGCTGGGCTATGAGTTACGGGAATTGAAAAGGGTAAATTGCCCTCCCCTTGGATTAACCGATACAACGATACCGGAAAGGACCGGAGGATCAAGCGGGAGTAAGGTCAAAGGTTGTGCGTCGAAACTGGAACAGGTAAGCCTAATGCTTTGGTGCTAATCCAGAGTAGCACCGGAACGACGGGCGTTCTGGATTAGAATGATTTTAAGTAAGATGAAAAACAGAATTTTAAAATCCCCCGTTCAACGATGGTACGGGGGGTGTCGGTCAAAAGGAGTACAGAGGACGTGATTCTAAAAGGATGTAAAAAGTACAAATACAATTTCCTGTATCTGACGGATGTGATTCATGTGATGCACTCATCGAAAAAAAAAAAAAAAAAAACTCTGTGCGTGGACCGATAAGGTACGAGTGAGTGAATGATGATTCGGTACGGCGACAGGAAGTCGCATCTGTGGTTATATATTGCATGGAACGATGCACAAGTGGATTACGCAACTTCGTACCTCGACCCAAACGTTAATAACCTTCTCCGGCAAGCTCTCCGATGGTAACGCGTCCATCTGTAGTTTGAGGCATTCCCGCTAGATGGCGCTGAGAGTCAAGGGCAGCGATACGTCCCGGAAGGTAAAGCGCTAACGAAATTCGAGCTTCCACCGACTCGTTTAAATTCTTTCGAACGTGTTTCGATTTCTAGTCAGTGCGTTCCTAATGAAATGACTTTATACAGGAATAAGGAAATTGACAGAGGAATTGGTCATTTCCAGCGGGCGGAGCTTTCGCTAGGGTATTCTGGTGGAAGTGATGGGTTTCCAAGGAGCAGAAGGAGCCCCTCGCGCGCGCTGCAGAGGGCAGGCAGTATCGAAAAACATTTCGCCTCCATAACTCTCGGTATTATAGGCTGCACGTGCGAGCCTCTTTCTAGCCATCCACTAAACGACTCACGCATATCTGCCGAGAGAGAAGTATATCGATTAACTGTCCAGCCTGCACTGTCTGGAGTCTCGTGACTCTCGTCTGGAGGGTATTGTCTTTCGCGATATCGCGAGACACGACTATTATCTGCGCTCCTACGTAACACGTGCACTGAAGTGCTTCTCTGATACGTCAAACGAATGGAGCAGGTGCAATCCTCTATCATTGTCAGACGACAGTCCGTCTGCTTCTCTCACGGACTCGATAAAAGCTGTGGGCACGGCTAAATGTATACAATCTACTTACGACAATCATCTCGGAGGGTTCGAGGACGAAACATTCGTTGGGTCTCCTGGCACTTCCGCCCGTCCGCTTCCCAAAGCTGAAACATCAACAAGAAAAAGAAGCATTTAATTTCTCTCCATCTTCAATCTCCATTCGTCAGCGAATCTCTATTACCCAAATATAAGTTATTAATAATGAAAATCCCTGAGGATTTTTGCATTCTCTTTCTCTTTCATCTCTCGGCCTCCAGTCGACCCTCAGCATCCTTCTTCCTTCTCCATCAGACCGAAGCAAAGGCGTAATCCCTTGCTGGATTATCTTCCTCCCTTCGCCTTCCGACTATCGCGACTATATATATATATATATACTCGAGATATGATTTACGCGGCAGGAGTGCCATTTTCAGTGGCTTAATTCTTTTGAGACTGTCGCCGAATTCCCTGCATGAAAAAACTAGACTTTATGCGCGACGGCCAGTCGCACCGGCGAACTGCCGCTTTCCTCTCGCGTGCTTCATGGCTTTGCAGGCACCACGTGCTTTCGCCACACAAAAGGAAGGAAGGAAGTCGCGAGTCGCACTGAGCTCGTTTCCGTTCGATGGATTCGACGCGACTCCCTGCGATTCTACAGCCGATTCGCTCGCATGAATCTTCAGGGAAGACAAAAAGCAAAAAAACAGCCAAGCGAATTCTTCCGTAAATCCTCTTTGGCATCCGTGCACATTTCAAGAGTTTCATTAAACCCGAGTCCCGATTCCTCCGAACGCTGCGCCACTGCAATCGATAACGCGCATCTATTGGATTTGCCTGTGAGATCAAAAGAACACGATGAGTGCAGCCATAAGTCAAAATTCTGGCTGGGAGACCCTTTGAACCCCCGTATCGTTCTACCAAAATCCCCATATAGGGAACGTGCTAGGTAATTCGTGAAAAGGATCGAACACGTCGGTAGAGCTTAAGAGTGACGAAGTTAGAAGCAAATTGGCGACGTTCGATGGCGGATCATCTCGAATTCCGTAATGTTACGCATCCGGTCCGATGTCTCGCCGCAGGGCGTAAAACTTGGCGCGGATGGGACCTTGACACACCATTTACTCTCCCCATGGGATTCTCATTGCTTCCGTGACCCTAATGCACTATACCGTATATTAGCCGGTCAAAGGAACCGCACGCCGCACAACCGCACAACCGCACGCGGGTCCATACCCACGTGGAAAAGAACGTCTCTTTTGACGTTGTCCCGGAGAAGAATCAGGGAGAAGAGACGAACGTGTCATTGGGAAGGACGCAGCATCCGTGTCTCCTCCCTCCGACTGGTCCCTGATCCGCAGTGCAAATTCTCATTGAGCTCCATATTTGCCCAGACCATTTAATCGTTCGCCAGAGACAGATGTTCCGCGATGCTTAACAGGCATGCTGTGAAAATTAGGGGTAGCGTCGAGGGAGGGTCCCCCGTTAATCCCCCAGACAGCCCCTTATGAAACGGACTACGTGGTGGTTCTCTGATCGATTTAAAAGCCTGGGGCTGCCCTCGGCGCTTTGTGCGTCGACCTTGGAACGTCCACGTGAAAGAAGATGACCGTTGGGCTGCTGCCCTTGAAGCTCTTCTGTGCGAGAGCAATTCGGATGACTCACTGATAAGCAGCTCGAGCTCTGCGTTTCGCGGGATAAATTACTTTCCGCGGTTGTTTCAGTCGTCTACGGCGTGTAAACAGTCTGATCGGAATCAGCGACTGATGCGACAGGTGCGTGGAATCGCTTGGTCGCGTGGAAGTGTTTTCGCGACACTGCTCCTTCGCTGGGAACCTTCCATCCAGAGATCAGAATAAATTTCCCGGATGAAATAATTCCTGGAGCTCTATAGCTTCGGAGCTCCCTCTTAATCGATCTCGCTGCTGACATTCGCAATCGAGCCGCTAAATGAAGATGATGCAACCTGTTATATGATATACTGTTCTCCCGTGCGAGATCAAAAGTTGCGCTGTCAATGGACCTAGTACCTAGTACCTAGTCTGCTGACGAAGCCCGAGGCAGCTATAGTTATAACAAGAATGCCGGCAAGGAGGATGCCGAAGGTGCAAACACGTTCATTCGAAGCGCCCGCGAGTGTTTCAGCGAGAGACGGGACCTCTCGGTTCCTGTTCCAGATTCGGTCGCTTGGATGTCGAGGAGTTCGCCAGTCAGACGGACGGGTGTCTCGGCGTTTCCTGAACAGCCGAAGGGGCTGATGCTTCCAATGAGTATCGGGAATTACGAGTTGGCCAAAGGACCAAAGGAGCTTTCGAGCTGCCTTGTGGAAAATAGAGGGAAAAGCCGGGAGACGGTTTAAAATGCGAAGCTGCCGGTTGGCGTAGGCGGATCGAGCAGCCCGACGGCCGCGGAGGAAGTCGCCGAGCGGTTGGGAGGAGGAGGAGAAGAGGAGAGGAGGAGAGGAGGAGAGGAGGAGAAGAGCCTGAGCGCGGGTGGGAGTCAACTCGTACAGCTCGTACGTGTCGCATTCACTTAGTAAAATTATCTGCACCGTTTTACCAACCAGACACTCGTCCACTCAGTCTAATCAAATATTACCGGGAGACCATTAGTTTATTAGCTCTGGCGTTATGCTTTTTCTCAAAGGCACCGCGCGAGGCATTGACGACTCGCCGTTGGAGGTCTCTCCTCCAACGGCCCCTGTTCTCGGGGAGGGTGTCCAGGGCAGTCCCGCTTGGAATATCCCTAGCATTCCAGAGGAAGTCGATTTTCCGCAGAGTCGAGTAAACTCACCATACGGAGAATCTTCTTCTGGGAAACGCTGGTGGCGGAGGTGGCTGCGCCCTGTGACTTCGGTCGACGCTCTCGCTGCGCAGGGCTTGAATGGCCCTGGGCACGGCCCTGTACGGTTCCTGCCCGAGTCTAGGACTGCAAAGCCCACCGATGTTACCGATGCTTCCATTGCCAAGACCGTTTCCGGATGTGGTGGCACCTCCGCCACCGTGGAAGCTGTTCCAACGTCTCACGGGTCCTCTACTAGCTCCACCGGAAGCACCTCTCAGTTGGCCGGTAGTGTGCTTGTGCATCTTTCAAACTGTTACTTTACACACACGAGGACGCGCCGCTTCGAATTCTCCTCCATTTCTCTCTGATTGGCAACTCGGCCTGACCACTGGCGCTGCCCACGACAGCGGAAGGAACCCTCGCGAGTAGCACTCCGGAGGACTCGTTTGGCTTGGCACCTTTCACCTTTCACCTTTCACCTTTCACCTCCCAGAGAACTGAGAGCACCGTTCTTATCCATCCCTCTTCCACCGGGGGATCATCATTCCCGGGAGAATCGTGTAGGTCAACACCGAGAGGCTGGACAACATCACTGTTTAACTTTTTAAATTCCTTTCTTGTATCGTGGAACAATGTTCATCCAGTGAATAAGGTATCGAACTTGCGTTTCCGCTGCCAGCACGTCATCCAAATCGTAAAATAATCGGGAGGACTTGATTCTTCTTGAATGTTCCTTCCTCAAGTCGACTTCCGCCTGAACAATTGCAACTCGCCTATTAATTCACTGAACTTGATACCATCGAAGACAAAACGCGAGAGCGTCTTCCCTCTCGCTGGCTCTGTAAACCAACCGAGTACCGAAATGATGCTGCTCGCCATAAAAGAATTCTCTATATGGACCTAGACTCTCGCGCTCTACGTACAGCGTATTCCCCTAGTCCCCTTATCAGACTGTTTGCTCGAAGCGTTGATAAAACCGGCACTGTAGAATAAGAGTCTGAGAACGTGGAGAGGGAGAGGGAGAGAGGGAGAGAGAGAGAGAGAGAGAGAGAGAGAGAGAGAGAGAGAGAGAGAGAGAGAGAGAGAGAGAGTAATGGGGAACGGTAGAAGGAGGAGGATGAGGAGGATGAGGAGAATATGATAAATCTGAGACAACCGACGAAGACTCGGGTGTCGCGTTTATCCTAGACGCAACCTTTCTGGCGTCATCGCTTTTCGTTTCGTTGAGCGATAAACTCGATCTCCTCGAGTCCGTCTTACTGCATCCCAGCCAGTCCCAGAAGACGTTCCTAGGGATCCCTGTGGCCCTCGTTATTCAGATCCTACTGGCTAAGCAGATGCATCCCCCCGGCCCTCAGGATCCTCCTTTCCACTCGTGCCAACCTCAATCAGCGAAACTAGCAGACGACAGTCTTCATTTTACTTTACTCAAAAAAAAAGACAATTCGATCGAGATGACGCTGCGACTATTCTGTCGGGAGTGGAACAAGCGAAACGACCGAGCAGGATGACGATTTAAAGACACGAAGAAGATGGGAGAAAGTAAAAGAGGAAAGTGCGACGAGCGGAAGCGATTCTTCTTTCAAGTATGTAAAGAGATTCGTGTACTGTAGGTGCAGGAGGTTGGGACGAGAGAGAGCGAGAGAGAGAGAGAGAGAGAGAGAGAGAGAGCCTTAGAAGGCGAGTACGTAGCTACTCAAGTATGTATAGAAATACGGTGAGCTTGCGAAAGCTCTTGAGCACGCGCCGGCATCTCGAGGATTCTCGTTGGCGCAGCGAAGAGTCGTCCTTTCCATCTCGTTTATATGTATATGAGATGGTACAGGATTCTCGAGATCCTCAGGACCCTCAGGTATTTGGATGCCAGAATGCCGAGGTTGCCTTAAGGAGGTTGCCTCAGGTATACCTGACATATGGCCGCACATAGAAGTAACTGCAGCCAGGCGGAGGTCAGGATTACCTGGTAGGGAGAAGCATCGAGCAGGTGCATTGTGTTCCTGGGACTGGTGGCTACTTGGGGGACCTTAAGACCCGCATCCTCCTCAGGGGAGCCGCCTACCTACGTCGACAGAAGCCCAGGGAGCATCGGAGAGAAAGGATAGAAAATCTCGACAAGGAAGATTAAAGAGGGATTGTGGAACAGGGCGGCAAGACTAATAAAGGGAATAAAAAATGAAGCGAAAGGTTTCTTAAGCTCCTTGACAAGTTGACTCGGTGCACGCAGCAAATGGAACACGCTGTTCCCGTGCGTCGAGGGCGATTCAGCCGAGACGCATCGGTTAAGGATTGATGATCGCGATGAGATCGTCCTAGTCGAAGACTCGTGTATCGTTGTCGACAGTTG